TTAATGGTAGCTGACTGCAGGTTTGACACCTACAACAGGGAGGACAATCACTGGTAATCAGTAAAGATCAGGAGGGAGTAAGAGGAAGGAAAGAGGAAGCTAGAGCCAAACAGCTGTCAGTTAGGCCTCAGTCCTTCACTGGCAGTTAGCAGTAAAGATTTCCTAGATAGCCTTAGCTGGCAACCGCTAATAGGCTGTAATAGCTGAATTGAATCGCTGGGAATGCCCCCCGACCGAAGTATGGCCACTATAAGTTCATATATATGCCACTCACAGGTTCAAAGTTGACCCACAACAGAGATTGACCTTTTGCTTCAGATAGAAGATATATCCGCACACTTGTTCAAATGCCTCAAAACATTTAGATTTCCATCACAATCGCAACATCTCAACCAGAGGACTTTTTCAGGTGATACCGTTTTGTGGCATGTATGAGTGCGTATCTTCTTCCTCACTCTGCTGTTTTTGCACGGCCCTGCACCGACACCATGAGCGTGTAACTACCTCCTTTTTCTAGAATACTTTTTTCAGCCAGAGAGAGAAGCAACATCTCTCCTTCAAAAACTCACCACACTCCCTCAGTAATTTGACATCGCAGTTGCTGGTCAATTGCTTCTTAAATAGTTTGGTTTGTTTTGTAACCATGGTGACCTAAATGGTAAATTCAGAACACACATTTGTGAAAAGTAAAACACACATTCACGCAATAAAAAGGACTCCATTTGAGGCAGCGGCAGACCAACAACTCCTGTGATCAGTGAGGTCAAATGAGCTTCTCGACGGGTTGGTGGCTCTTTAACAAATATATGAAACAGCTGTTTGTGGTGCGCACTCAGGGAACTCATCTGAGCCCGTCAGTGACAGAACAAGAAGCTCTTTATAGTGGATGCTCTTTGATTTGCAGCTATGTAAGCCAAATTCCAGGCTGCAGTCTGGAGTAATGTACTGGAGCACTTCCAAAAACCTTTTGTACCTATAAATCATTTCAACCCCCAAACTACATTAAATAGGGCCTGGGTTTAAAATAACTGAGTCCTCCTTTTAATGCTTCTCTGCAACGATGACATCAGCTTTTGGGATGACACACAGACACCAACTCGGGTGACCTTACCTGTACCGCTCTCCTTAAAAAAAAAAAAAAACCCGAAGCCTCTTTCTCCTCCCTCCAGCCAGTCAAGGGGAAATCCGTTTGAGCTTAGCCAGGGTTGGAGGGACGATCCCTTTTTTAAAAGGCCGCTGACAGGGCGCAGCGGGGGCGTTTACAGTTTACTACGTTTGTACCGCGGCGCGCAGCCAGCTCGTTGTGGATTCCTGTCTCGGCTCCATACTTAGATGAAGAGTTCATTCAGCAGAAGCTCCCTGAGGATACAGAGCGAGAGGATCAGGCGAGGGAGGCTCGAGTCGGCCCTGATGGAAAAACACGGCGGTGGCTGAGTTACTGGCTGTTTTCTAAGGATCTTATCACGCTACACCGAGAACCGTTTCGCAGTGTGTGTTGACTGGACCTGTGTGGCCACCTTCTTTTTTACCCTGTTAATAGCTGGCTGTGAATTGATCAGGCTGAGTACTAATAGTCTAAATATGTGCTGCATTAAAGTCAGGGTTGGTGATTTTCTCCTGATCCACTTTTTAAGATTTTGGTTGAAATTGTCTGTAGGTCCTGACAGAAATTAATAACTCATGTGCTCTGAAAAAGGAACAGAGAAAATCTGTCATCTGTAGCAGTTGTAAGCCTGTAAAAACTTCAACCAATGTCTGCTGATGACATTGGTCTGATGAACCAATCACACGCCTCCCTGTCTCCCTGCTCGTTCTCTACCCCATGCATGCACAAGCCCACACTCAAAGGATGAGCTGAGGTCGCTTCTGGACCAACGGCGCTCGTGCATGTTAGTAAGGGGGCGTGGCTTTTGAGGGAGCACAGAGGGAATGCTACTTTCAAAATCATGCTAGTTTTTGAAAATTACCAACCCTGCCGTTTAAGTGGAGCTGTTCTAGATGGCCCAAATCATTCCCCTGGCACCTCCAATGACCACAGAGTAACTTTCTTCTGAAAGTTTTTCTTTCATGGATGCTTCTCGATGGAAAATTTTGAAGTCCCCTCCTTTACTGTTGCATCATAAAAACATTAAAATTCTCCTTGTGTGCAGAACTGTCGTCTGTAAAAGCGTGCCAAGACACAGAGATGAAAAAGAACAGCGCCCAGAGTCTGCACTGACTGTTTCTGAAGCACTCCAAAAAAGCAATTATCCAATCACTGCTTGGCATAAAACTTAAAATGACGTGCCTGTCAAGATTTTGGTTTTCTCCCATTGATGGATGATCAGAACTGGAGTCTGGACAGGATGGTGCCCAGTCAGTCACCTGAATGAAAATTGCTAACTGAGCGCAGAAGCCAAAACAGTTGTCAGGCTTCTGAGTCTGTGCAGCTCACAGCAGATGCACATTACTTCTCCGCCCGAATATGTCATTAATACAAAGTCTAAAAAACTCATTTGACAAGGAGTAAATTTGTTCATCCTTTCCTTCACCAGCACAACCAGCTGCGTCTTTGAGACACACATATGCTACTGGCAGGATCAACCAGGTAGCCAAAAAGACAGCCCCGCCTGAACACTTTCAAAGGCAGTAAGATTAGAAAGTGTTGAAGCCAACTAGTGGAGCTTAACTTTCCTCATATCGCGTCATCAACACAGCCGACACCATCGAGGCTAAATGTGACAAAGCTTTCCTTTTGTTTCTGGAATCAAAGACCAGTTCCTTTAAAAATATTGATGAGACCTTTCATGGTGGGACTTCTCATGATTATTTTGTAAATTGTGTAGTTGAAGATCGGACAAGATGACAGACGTGCAGCAGCAGAAGCTAAAGAGGAAGTTAGGCTTAAGGAGCTGAAGTGTAGAAATGACGAGCCAGGGAACATTTTCTCTGAGGGATTGAAGGAGAACACGAATCCTTAATCACTTAATTTGGAGATGAACGTGATCAAACAAGTTCTCCTCCTTTCTTCTAAACTCTGATTTAAAAAGATAATGTCTTGCTTCCGTTTCTCCTCTGTGTCTCCTATAACCCATCCTCTCCCCTCATCAAACTTCTCTCCTCTCTCTCTTTCTCCTCTATCCGGCGTCTTGCTCGACTTATTTGCCAGCTCGAGGGCTTAGGTGTTTAAACCTCCCAATTTTCATCACTTAGAGTGCCAATCAAATAGGGCTTAGCCCGTGTAATCTGCCAGACTATTGTCCCCTCTCTTTGCTCCTCTTTCTCTTTCTTCTCCATCCTTACCACCTCTAACTTCTGTCTCCTCGAACCAGATTTTAGAGCAATAATCCGTACACTTTCCTGAACTACATGGAGTGTACATGCTATAAATGGGAAATGAGGAGTAGAAAAATGCACACAGATGATAAATAAAGCAGTTGAAGATGTGACTGTGGAGATGAGGTTCATGTGAGGGCACAGGGCTGCAGCAGGTGAGGGCATCAGGTTGAACGCTTTGGTTTTGTGAAACCAGATCTGACAGCAGGTTTGCAGTTGGCACCGACCGCGCTGCCTCGGGGGCCGACTGTGCTCGCCTCATTATTATTTTAGAATCTGTGCCTCTGGATCGCTGCTCCACACCTGGACCCGAGCTCAGGTATCCAGGTTTTTTTTTTATTCTGCGGGGATTCAGCCGACACGTTCTCCCGTGACAGCTGATCTGTTTGTTTAGGACATCTTGGAGCAGTCCGACAAATATCTGAACACTTTGTCCGGCAGCGTCTGATCGACTGGCCAGTTCCTGAGTTCTACTTTGTTTTCGCTCACCAAACAAAAAATAGAACAAGAAAGATGTGAATAATACTTTGTTGTTTTACAAAGACACGATGTCTTTCAGAGGCATTATTACGCAGACAGCAATGACATTCCTGATGAGATGTTTCCCATATCATGCTCGTCTTGGAAATCTAAAAGAAGCAAGAAGAAAACTTGATTTAACCTTTATTTAACCAGGTTGGTCCCATTGAGATTAAGAAGTTCTTTTCCAAGTGAGACCTGGTCGTGACAGTCAGCAGCAAAAACACAAAGTTACAGACGGAAACACAAAGACAGACTAATTTACAAAACACTAAACTTTGCATTGAAAGAGAAAAAACATCTATGAGTCAGTAGTTCAAACAGTCGAGCTCAAAGCATCCACATCCTGTAGAATCTGCTTCCAGGTCTTTCATTTGAGATTTAAAAACATTTACGGACTCCAGCTCCTTGAGTTTTCAGTCACTCTGCAACGGGACTCCAGGCTGAGGGTGCAGAATACCCAACAGGCCGAGCGTTTGGGACGGAATAATTATCTTACAGCTGCCCTCGTGTTCACTGTGGTTTATGGCATCTGCATGGATAAAGGCTGTGACTTAAACAGTTAGCTGGCAGCTAGAGAAAGATGTTTCCCACCTGACCCCTCTCCAACCTTGTGAAGGTCAGTGGAGCTAGCTGCTGCAGTGCTAGCATCGTGTTTTAACAGCAGGCAACATACAACTACTATGTTGGATGGTGAACATTACTATTTGACCCTGTGAGCACTTTTTGCACTGGCAACCTTCATTCACTCAAGGCCATCTTTAACTTAGAGCAGAACATTGATGTAATGAAGAGGTATAATTTTTTTGTGATGTTTTTCAGATTGATAGAGAGAGATCAGATTTTAACGGTCTGGACTTCTTTCTCAATAACAGTCTCTGTCTCCTCCTCTCTCAGTCCTCTCCCAGCAGCCAGACTCCTTTAGTTCCAGGTAATGAGCGTATCATAGGATGAGACGGTGGCATCCCCTCGAGCTCGACCTGCAGAGTCTGCTCCCTGCTGAATCCCTGTTAAACAAGCAAAACACTAGATTTAACAACCAGCCAGACGAAGCGTTGACCTAACCTGGAGAAGTCCAGTAGTTTCTATTCATGATGTGTGGAGGTTAACACAAATGGTGCTGTGACTGACGGCCTCTCCGTTCTGTTTTGTTCCCTCCCCTGCAGACATCGACGAGTGCCAGGAGAACAACGGAGGCTGCGATCACTTCTGCAGGAACACCGTGGGCTCCTTCGAGTGCAGCTGTCAGAAAGGACACAAACTGCTCACGGACGAGCGCTCATGCCAAGGTCAGTGAGTGACAGCTGTCAATCACACACACCCTCCCTGTAATCTGCTTTCAGTCAGCTGTAAAACGCTTCAGTTAACTCTGAGACTTGAAGTTTTATCGAACAAAAGTTAAGAATGATGACAGTGATATGTGGACTGGAAACTTGAGACTTAGTTCAGGCCTGTGTCTCAGCTGGAGTCCGATCTGAAAATCAATAACAATTCAATCCCTGGTCCAGTTCAGCGGCACAGAAGATCCTGCAGGACATCAGTCAGGGGAAAGACGGAACACTTTCCATCAAGCACAGTCCTAGAGTTACGCTCTGCTAGTTTCCCCTTAGACGCGCTTGGCTTACAGAGAGGACGTTTTTATCGATCACCTCCTCAGAACACTGTTTGAAGATACATACAAGTTTATATTTCCATGAGTTTTGTCTGAGTAGGGTCTGACTTCCTCTGCTGGGTGTGTGTTTAAATCCAGATGAAGATAAATCCACCGATACCTGGGGACAACCAAAGCCAGATTTTTTTTTTTTACGAACAAGTCGTAGCAAGCAGCCAGGAGAGCTGACAAACACAAAATGATTTTATTAACAACAAAACCCCGGAGGTGCTTCTGTCCTCGGCCCAAAACCACCACACAGTGGGAATGAGTGTGTGTGTGTTAGTGTGTGTTGGATTAACTGTGCAGCAGCGGTGGTGCCTATAATAAGTTGAGTCTTTAATAATGTGGTGTTGAGTGCTGTGTGAGCCACATCATAGCGCCTCTGCCTATTTCTGACACACCTTTGCCACAGCGCCGTGCCAGGTGTGTCCCATTGGCTGATCCCCGCGCCGTGCAGCTCCGACATGACCTTGAATTGAAATATCATGTTTGATTTGTCAGATCTCTTCTTGGCAAGTGAGCTCATCCAGAGCAAACAGCTCCTGGTGAAAACCTGCCAGAGCTTGGCTAAGAGAGCCAGAGCGGAGAGATTGATCGTGTGCTGTGGATTCATTAGCGATTCCCAAGGATTCATCTTTTTTTTCGGAATTTTTAGAATAGCAGAAAGACGGAGGGAACGTTTGATAAATGTCGGCAGTCTCTGTAAAAACACCTCAGCGCCAGAGGTTGGCAAAACACTTGCATTCTTCACTTATAAAGTCATCTTTATTTACAGATTCTTTAAAAGTCTAGATGTTTATGAGGAGCTAAAGCAGGCACAGTCCACTGTGATGACATCCTGACTCTTGCTGTGAAAGCCAATCAACATTTAGATTTCCCTACTTCAGAAATGCATCAGAAATAATCGATCAGATGTCCATTAAAGGTCACATATTGTGCAAAATCCACTTCACCATGTTCCTCTAACTCTAATATGTGTCTCTAGTCTGTCTACAAACCCCCCAATGATGAGAAAAGTCCATCCTCTCCATCTTTTTCATGCTCCACTTTTCAGAAAATGTGTGCTCAAACAGGCCATTTGGAGATTTTCCCTTCATGACATCACAAAGGGCAGTCGTTAACAGTCTGTTATTGAGACATGCTACACACACATATGCTGAAATACACACACATGCACAATCAGGATCCTGTGGCCATGCACTGGTGGAGAGATGTCAGGGTGAGGGGGGGGGGCTGCCCACAGTGAGTGCTTCTGAGCTGGTGGGATTCTGTGCCTTGCTCTAGGGCAATGATCTCAACTGGTGGGTCGGGAACCAAAAGTGGGTCGCGGAGCCATTTTCAGTGGGTTACAAACATGTGACCGACTGATCTACTTCCACCCCCATATTCAAAGTGGTTGAAAAGGAGGATAATATGTGACCTTTGGTAAGATGATTTGGTAAGATGATTTGCGGTGGTGCATGATATTTTAAAGGCGGTGTTTCTCATAGAAATTAAACAAACTCATCAGCTAATCAGCAAACAGCATTAATACAGAATATGTCCCTTTAACATTAGCAGACTGCAGCAGTCGCTTTTATAAACTCAATCCAAACAGGCAACTTCTCCCTAAATCGTCGGATGGACGTCCGCCTGCAGTATTTACTGAGCCAACATGCAGACCTTTATGACTTCCTCCACATGACAAACTCCATTATAACATGTCGTATTTTCAGCCGCTGTAAAGCCCCGACATCAGGACAGCCTGAAATAAACCAGGTGAGCCTGAATCACTGGCCTCCTTCCCTGATAGGTTCATAATATTTAGTGCTGGAAAAGAATACATGAACATGCACACACACACACACACATTGACGTAAGGGTGAATGTGAAACCTTCAGCCTCGGCTCGGTGCACTTTGTACGGATATCAGAGCGAGCTCTTGTGCTGTTTGGAGTGGAGCTGGTGTATTTGTTTACTATAACGTCCTGTGTGATTAATGAGGCAGAGTCTCTGCTCCTCGCTGAGCCATATGTGTATGTCTATACGTGAGTCATGAAGTTTGTGATGTCTGTAAACCACTCATCCTGCTGACCTTTACTCGTCTCACCCAAACGGATGCAGAGGGATCAAACCAGAGAGCGCTCTCATCGACTGATTCAAAACCACCAGAGATTCACTTCTCATGAAGGACGATCCTCTTATTTCTTATTTCTGTTTTATTACTGTATGTTCTCAATACAGAAACAAAACACAAACACAGCACAGCATTACAAACTTTTTCTTCTTCACCTGTTCACGTGTGTCTCCGTTCTCCTCAGACATCGACGAGTGCTCCTTCGAGAGAACCTGCGATCACACCTGCATCAACTACCCCGGCAGCTTCGAGTGTCTCTGCCAGAAGGGCTACATCCTGTACGGTCTCACTCACTGCGGAGGTGAGAGTCTCTGCGACATGGAGCAGCGTGTGTGTGTGTGTGTGTGTGTGTGTGTGTGTGTGTGTGTGTGTGTGTGTGTGTGTGTGTGTGTGTGTGTGTGTGTGTGTGTGTGTGTGTGTGTGTGTGTGTGTCTGTGTGTGTGTGTGTGTGTGTGTGTGTGTGTGTGTGTGTGTGTATCTGAAAGGAAAAGGGAACTGCTCTTCAGAGTGTGAAGGTGAGGAGGTCACTGAGCGTGTGCAGACGGCTGCTGCTGAAAACACTCTCACACCTCACTTCTCCTGAATAACTCCACTCTGTGTGTGTGTTTGTGTGTGATTGTGTGTCTACCGTAAATATGTGCACGTTTGCTAATTTGTGTTTTTTTTTTGTTTTTTTTGTGTATGTTTCGTTTGTAGGTAGCCAATAACACAACTTTTCACTTGTATCTTCTGTTGCTCTGAATAATTTTCTGCTAGATTTAAACACCCGAACATTAGGTTCAGGGTTTTATTCTCAGTGTATCAATAATGTAGAGGGATGTGGAGACAAACTTTATTACATTGCTCGGGTTTATTTGCATGTACTATGATTTACCGACAGATCTATTTTGTTCTGTGTTTCTTATCCAGATTACTTTAATTGTAATAGTTTCCAGTTGTAGTTAGAAGAAGTAAAAGTAGAATAATTCTGACTGTGCTGCTGTCTGTGTTTGTGTGTCAGACATCGACGAGTGTAGCATCAGTAACGGCAGCTGTGAGTACAGCTGCATCAACACACAGGGCGGCTACGAGTGTGTGTGTCCGCCCGGACAGAAGCTCCACTGGAACAAGAAGGACTGCATCGGTAAGCATCGAACCAATGTGTGTGTGTGTGTGTGTGTGTGTGTGTGTGTGTGTGTGTGTGTGTGTGTGTCCACATTGTTGTTATGGTGATGTGACTCGCTGTGTTCCTCAGAGGCGGTGAAGTGTCTGCCCAATGGGAAGCCAGCGCCCCGAGCCCAGCTGACCTGCGCAAAAAGTGGGGGGGCGGAGGTGTGCTCGCTCTCCTGCCCCTCCAACGCCCTCTTCCTCGCAGGTACACACTCACACACACACACACACACACACACACACACACACACACACACACACACACACACACACACACACACTCAGAAGCGTGTGTACTAACCTCACATTCGGAGTATTGACACAGGCTTATATTCATTTCCTGTCGTCTTAATCTGACCATAAATGTAACCAATTCTTACCTCAACATAAACCCTTCCGTGATCTAAACCACTGACTCTGAAATCTCTGTTTGACCACGTTAGGATGTGATGCTCGTCCTTAAAGATGCAAACAATCCACATCAACACAGAGTTAGCTGTTTCCTGTAACGTGACGTCACACACACACCAAACACATACACACACCCTGTCAGTGCCAAAGCATTTCATTTGACTACTAAAACAAAATCTGAGTGACAAAAATAGAAATGATCAAATTTATGTTTTTTTGGATATTCAGAATTAAATCATATAATACTCTGAATATTCTTTTCATGTTCTGGATTCTAGAGACTTGACACAGGAGTGGCATCATATATGTACAGTATACCTGTGTACCAACTGTGCAAAGCTATGGCGACTAATTTACGCCTGGGGGCACAGTAAAGTATTGTATTGTTTTCGTCTCTGAATGATTTGAGTGCAGAAGAATATAATTGCGGTTATTTGAAAAGCTCATTTTGAATTTGAAGAATTGAATTACAGATTTGACTGATGCATATTTATCTGACTTTCCTTTCTTTATTTTAGAGAAATGTCAACACAACTACACAATTCATAGCAGGACTAAATTCATGGTTTCAAGAGACAGAATCGTAATAACGATTTAAAGACGTGGTTATGATCTTTCTGGAGCTGTGTGAAGATTTGCAGGAAGGGACAAAATGAGCAGCTGAAGGAAACACGTTTCCTCTCTTTTTATTTAGTTCTTATTTAAATAGATTGTTCTCCGCTTTAAAGGGATTTAACTGCTTCATTAATATTGTGAGATTTTGTCTTAAAGTTTGTGTCAAAGCTTAAACGCTTACAAGTTAAATGCTGCACACGTTGCTGCCCTCTGGTGGTGACAGAGTGCACACACAGCTGTTCTGCACAGCCTGTCCTCCGTCCTCTCTGATCGGCTTGATGAAACCGCTCGCTCGCTCTCTGTGTCTCTGTTGTCGTTTCCTCCTCGGGGGGCTCTTCCCTCAGACTGATGTGTTTTTCTCTCTTTGCGGTTTCCTTGGCTTCACACTTTGCAGCACTTTGGCCGACACCGTGCTCCTCCTCCTGTGATAGTACTTAACACACATCTGTAAACTGATTACATTCTATGATCACTCCATTTTTCCATAGTGTGGCGCTCTGTCCGTTTTGCTTGGCGGCGGCGGTGTGAGAGTGATGAATGGCTCTGAGGCGGGAGGTGAAATATTTGTTTTTCTGTCCTCTTGGAGTGAGTTTTAATTTTTTAGGAGGGAAGGAGCCATGGAGATTCCTGTGGCTGAATTCAGCCCGGCTGTTATTTAATCATCACGCTTTTTATGACCTCTGGAGGCTGCATCCCTCATTTCTTACTTGAAATGCATCTCCGAGTGCACAAAGATGGAGACCCGGGATTCATAGATCTTTCATTTGGGCCTGAGTTTGTCGATGGCGGTTTGAGATGACCTGGCAGCGCAGTTTCAGGAGGAGAGGAAGGTCAGACAACATTTGTGAGATTCTTTTTAATCCTCTGAGCAGTCTTGCGTCCTCGGCACGACGCCAACTCAAACACAATCCTGCAGAAGAAAATACAAACTCTCATACCTCTAATCATCTTTATGGATGACTTCTCTTCTCCCTTGTTGTTGTTTTTAACTAACCTGAGAACCGAGTTACATCAATCAACAGGCAGAAGGATCTGAAGCCGTGTTGATCTGCAGACCTGCCGATGAGCAATGATCTCATGTTCTCTGAAAAAGGAACAAAGATAATCTGTCATCTGTATCAGTTGTAAGCCTGTAAAAACTTCATAAAGACTGATGAACCAATCACAGCCTCCCTGTCTCCCTGCTCTCTCTCCACCTCTTGTGTGCACTAGCCCACGCTCAAAGCGTGTCACCGATGACGGAGTTTATACTGAGAGTTTACTCACCGCTGAATGAGACGTGAGATGACGTAGTTTCGACACAGTGCAAAATGTTGCTTAGTATTGTGCTCATAGTGGATTAACAATGAGTCTCATTTGTACATAATAAAACAATGAATACCTGCTGTAAAGTAACTTACAGAGATATATTTGTTATATGAATTGGCGCTAAACAAAATAAAGATTGATTGCTTGATTGACCTTTAACACAAACAATCTCTCGCGGTGCCTTAACCACATCTTAAACATGTTTTTTTTTTTAAATCAGGGAGGTACTGTACTGATAACTCATGCACATCAGTGTGCACATGCATGATTGAATGGAGGTGTTTTATCTTAGGTCAAGGTGTTCTGTTATCAGAAAACACCAGGGTGGAACATGTCAGCAAGACCTCCAAGTCATCATGATGTTGTAAAAAAGTTTCCTCCTTAAGTAATAATAATCAAAATATTCGGGTGCTGGATGGTCTGGTGGTTATGTTGCGCACACTGTGTGCAGAGGCTGGAGTCTTGGTTGCAGCAGTGCGTGGGTTGGAGTTCGAGTCCGACCTCGGCCCTTTGCTGTGTGTCGTCCTACCACTCTCTCCTTCCAGCATTTCCTGTCTCTCTCTTCAGCTGTCCTATCTAATAAAACCAAAAATGGCCTCACAAAATAACCAAATAAATGTGTGTGTTTTTGTTTGTGTGTTTCCTGCAGACTCGGAGAACAGCTACACACTGAGCTGCGGCGTGCCCGTCCAGCCGGGTAAAGCTCCTCAGAAGAGGAACGTCACCGCTGCCTTACCAACCTGTGCAGGTACAGTCGCCCAAGCATGATGGGAAATGTAGTATTCAGGGCAGGACTGACTTTAAAAAAAAAGCTTGGTCTGAGTTCATTCAGCATCAGATGTAGGAGAAAAGCAGCTCATCCAAGATCGATGAGATCCTGAGAAAGAAAACTGTTTCTATAAGAAGATATAAGAAGGCTAGGATGACAGAAAGGTACTTTAGACCTGTCTCTGCTAATAAAGGTGGAATCTGGGTAGAAATAGTGAAGCTATGCATCACTTAAAGCTACAGGAAGCAATTTATTTTAGAGGAGTCATATCCTTTTAATTCTTTTAAACATCCTGAGAAAAATCAATAAACCAAAAGGTATGTGAGGGAAGTGAGTGTCTGTGACTGGACTGTGTTACAGTAAGTGAGTTCAATCCTTTTTTCTGCATTCAATGATTGGATGGCGTACCTGGCTGTCTATCAACCTTCCTTCCTACCTGTATACTGTGTGCATCGTGCAGTGCACTAATTGCACATCACCAGACTGTTTCTATGATTTAAAGCGAGGAAGAAAGTTGCAGGAGAATGGCAGAGAAAGGTCATTTGATGGGGTTAGGGATGAACATTCAGCAATAAAAAAAGTAATGCAGGTTTGTGGCTTTTGGGTTTGCTTAATTTCAAAGTCAAGCTTACTTATGCAGGCTTCTCCAAAGATTCATTTCCCATCTTTGACAGTAACTAAAGTTTAGGCCAAATCAAGTAGGAGGTAAAACATTTCATCTTGCATCATGACTTTGAAATATATACTCCATACTTTTATTTTTTACGTTCATGATAAACTAACTTGTGTTTCTGTCTGCTGTTTATGAAAAAAGACACTTTGGCCCCGCCCATCAAACAGAAGGCAAGGTTTAAGATCAAAGACGCCAAGTGTCACCTGAGACCCCGAAACAAGGAGAAGCACAGAGACGCATCCCGACAGAACATGCAAGGTAAACAGCTCCTCACATTCACTGTTTCACTCAATCAGAAGCACCTCACCTCCTGGTTAAGCCTCTCTCTCTCTCTCACACAAACACACATACATGAGGAGCTGCCCTCTCCTTCTCCATCCCGTCCTCCTCATTCTTCACTTTCTGTTTTCTCCCCTGGAAGGAGGCCAGTTCCCCTGCACCGACGACTGCCAGGTCACGTTTGTCAACCTCAAGTGCGACTCGTCAAAGAAACGCAGACGAGGACGCAAATCCCCTACCAAAGAAGTTTCCCACATCACCGCCGAGTTTGAGATGGAGATGAAGGAGGAGGAAGCCTCAGGTAAATAAACATCACAGAGACGAGTTCATGCATCTTAAAACATGTCTTTAAAATATGGATTCTTACCAAATTAAAAAAAAGTTTGTTAGGTTTTAAAACTGTAAAAAAAAAAAAATCATATTTTTTCCCTTCAGACTCGTGCAACGTGGACTGTGTGCGGGAGAGGATGAAGCAGAAGCTGCAGAGCGCCATGCGGACGCTCAGGAAGTCCATTAACAAGCAGCAGTTCTACATCCAGTTCTCTGGGACCGAGTACGAGGTGGCTCAGAAACCATCCAGGGTCCCCGAAGGTGCCGAGGCCTGCAGCACGGGACAAGTCCTCCGAGACGGAAAGTGTGGTAAGCGTCGAGAATCTGCAAGTTGTCCACTTGTGTCCTGTTATTGCTGATCTGTGATAATAACAAACGAACGCCCGTGTCGGCGTCCTCAGTGAGCTGTGGTGTGGGGACGTTCTACAGCGGGGAGCAGGAGCAGTGTGTGCAGTGCCCCCCCGGGACGTACCAGGACACCTCGGGTCAGCTGTCCTGTGAGCCGTGTCCCAGCACTGAAGGACAAGGCATCGCTGGAGCTAAGAACGTGTCTCAGTGCGGAGGTAAATCACCATCCAATCACAACAGGCGTTTAAAAAAAAAAGTCCAGGTCTTTTTACAGAACCTCAGAGTTCTTTATTGACTGATAAAGTACTTCAGACTTTTAGCTGCAAGGATTTCTAATAGCTGAGTTTTGGTGCTGATATTTAGAGTGAACGTGATGTAGGTGTGCAGTAATGTATGTCTTTCTTTCACTCTTGCAGACGCATACATACAAATACTTAAGGTTGGCGCCCCCTTGTGGCCATCAATGCAAACTGTAGTTGAGCTAAAGAGAGAGTGACAGACCACTGTTTGTTTGATCAATTACTGAGCTTCAGGGAAGACCACTTTGTAAAGATATTAAGTAACTGATGGACACTTTGTTAAGAGATAACAGACTGCACATTCAGACAGATGGATTAAAATCTGAATGAAGTGAAATGGTTTTATTCCTTCGGTCCCTCAGGTCAGTGTCCAGCAGGTCATTACTCCGCTGACGGCTTCCGCCCGTGTCAGACGTGTCCTCTGGGCACGTACCAGCCGGAGCCGGGCCGCGTCCTCTGCTTCCCCTGTGGAGGAGGTCTGATGACCAAGTATGAAGGATCAGTCTCCTTCAGGGACTGTGAGGCCAAAGGTGAGGCTTTGTTTGTGTGTGTGTGTGTGTGTGTGTGTGTGTGTGTGTGTGTGTGTGTGTGTGTGTGTGTGTGTGTGTGTGTGTGTGTGTGTGTGTGTGTGTGTGTGTGTGTGTGTGTGTGTGTGTGTGTGTGTGTGTGTGTGTGTGTGTGTGTGTGTGTGTGTGTGTGTGTGTGTGTGTGTGTGTGTGTGTGTGTGTGTGTGCGCAAATTTGGACTGTCTATATACTTATTGCTATTATTTACACTCAATGGTTCCCAAACTTTTCCAGAGAGCCCTCCATATCCCCCGCTATCCTTTACATACAATCTTTACCCAATAAGTCCTTTTTGGTACAGTTCCACAGCAAACCCAGATTATGATCCTAATTATTTCGTTAACTTTTCCTCAGGCAGCCAACTGGTCAAAGTTTTACTTTTTAAGATTTCTCAAATTTCTACTCATTGCATTTCCAGTTTATACCGTACAGATTTCCGTCGCTGCAAGAGGATTTGATTTAGTTTGTAGTTTAATATTTTACCCATTGCAGGATTAATTCATATGCAATATTGTGCAAACATCCATGATCTTTAGTGATTTTGGTGACTGGGGCCCTTTCCGAATAGTCACAGTTCAGTAGGCAGTACGTAAGTTCCAGTAGAAAACGTGGTCATTCAGTATGCATTTTTTGGGTCCACCTCAGTATACTGAACACTTCAGTGTGGATACTAACTTCCGGGTTTCATGCAGTATGGATCGGATGCATGCTTTCAGGAAATGAATTGTGTTTTACCCACAATGCTGTGCAAAATTAAACGTAAATCGTGCCGTCACTTCCGCCTCCAAATCAAAATAAATGAGCGTGGATTAATAGAATCAATTTTTAATCTAGAGTTAAAGTCCCGACTGAAATCACTACTTTTAATTAACAACAGAAAATATAACAAATGTCTGCATTATTATAAAAACTTTCCCCCTCTATTTAAATAATGATTTCACTCTTTAAATGCATCTTTATTGGTTTATTTTATATTCTGTATATTACTGTCTTTCACTTGTACTTTTCTTTATGTACTGTATGTTATTTAGTTATTTAATCTGTCTTTTACTTGATTTACATTGTGATATTGTTTTTTGTTGACCTGACTGTATATGTGCATTACTCTTCTTGAATAAAGCTAAAAAAATAAATAAAAAAAAAACGGGTGAATGCGGCCGGTTCAGGTAACATAAATGACGTCACTTCCATACTGAATGAATCAGAAGAAGTAGGAACAAATATCTGCCTACTGTGCACGCCTACTGAATAGTAGGTACTAACAGTATGCAGCACGGATAGTACATACTGCCTTCTGCCTACTGACAGATTGAGTAAGTACTTGGCAATTCGGATATACAGCCACTGTCTTCCTCCTTGAGGTTGACATTTTTTGGTTTTGTGTAAATTATCCATAAACATGGTCTACATATCTGGTGCACAGACATTCAGCGTTCCATTCATCCATTATCTATACTGCCTTTCCTGTGTGGAGCCTGGAGTCGATCCCAGCCGTCATTGGGCGAGAGGCGAGGTACACCCTGGACTGGTCGCCAGACGTATAGAGACAGTCAACCAGCCACACTCACATTCACCCCAGGCAATTTAGAGTCACCAGTTAATCTAACGAGCATGTCTTTGAACTGTGGGAGGAAGCCGGAGTACCCGGAGAGAACCCACACATGCACGGAGAGAACAAGTAGACTCCACACAGAAAGGCCCTGCACGATGGGGAGTTGAACCAGGAACCTTCTCGCTGTGAGGCAACAGCGCTAACCACTGCACCATCATGCAGCACATTTAAGAGTCCCTCAAGTTAAATCAAAATCACTTTGGTTACCTCCTGACCTTTCACTAGGCACCATCATCAGGTTAAAGACATTGTGTCCAACTCTTTGATTTATTACCAAATATCTGTGAGACTTCTGAAATTCAACTCAGGCCAGGCTTCATACGATGCAAAGAACCAGTTTGCTTACAAAGATGATTAACATGGTGAGCAATCTACCGTCTCAGCATCACCCTTGCAGCATTTAGATTGTTTTTTACAGCGAAACGTTTATCTCAAAGCATGACTGTAAACTCTACGTCTTGTTTAATGTTCTTTAGATTGCTCGACTTTCTCCTGAGTGATTGGAGGTTTTTATCTGCCGCTCAGAAAGCCGTGTATGTTAATCCTGACATTTGCAAAGAGACGAGCCATTTGTCAGCAGTTTCATTGTTAATGTCATCATAAAGGATGGTGCAGATGTGTATGAGATGGCTATTTGCACAATAAAGTCATCTATACGGGAGTTGTTTAATGCTTTGTTTATTCTGTAATCTGTGCATGAATAAAGTCACAGCTGTGAGAGAAGCATCTTTGATACTGTCTGCTCTTTATCTTCATTCAGTTTAAATTGTGTGTTCTCTGACTCCCTGTTCCCCCCTCAGTGCACTGCGCTCCGGGACATTACTACAACTCCAGTACCCACCGATGCATCCGCTGCCCCGCAGGAACCTACCAGTCTGACTTTGGTCAGAATTACTGCATCACCTGCCCGGGGAACACCACCACGGACTTTGATGGCGCAACCAACGTCTCCCACTGCAAAAGTAAAACTGCCCCCAAAGTGTTCATTTAATTCTCTAATCTCGAATGATGTTGTCCAATCAGTCAAGTGGAATAGGCCTCCAGGGCAGAGTGCAGGTCTTACAGAAACAGCTGTTGTTTTTTGTCAAACATTTCTGTTGTGTTTCCCTTAGACCAGCTGTGTGGAGGTGAGCTGGGTGAGTACACAGGTTACATAGAGTCTCCCAACTATCCTGGAGATTACCCGTCCAACGTGGACTGTGTCTGGACCATCAACCCGCCACACAAGAGGCGGATTCTCATCGTGGTTCCAGAGATCTTCCTCCCCATCGAGGATGAGTGTGGAGACGTGCTGGTCATGAGGAAGAGTGGTAAAAAGATATTTCAATGCATAAGCTCCTCATCTAAACTGAGCAGATAGATGAACAGTATGTAAAGTGTTAGTCTGCACGTTAGCCCACTTCTGTTCTTAGGTCTGAACCATAGGCCAACTGTGGTGGAAACTCAAAACTCCTAGCCCTAAAATGACCTGATGAAGGTTTTTGGTTTCCATTCTTTCTCACGATTTCAAGTGTAGGAGACAATGTGCAGTGGCCCTTTTGTTTCCTGGCTTTGCAAGCAAAACTAAAATGAATTCCAAAAAGCTCCGACCACATCCAGCCAAAGAGATCTAAAAAACAAAACACATTTTTCAATTTTCCACTCATGCAGAATAGAACCATATACGTTTTTTAGTCCTAGAATAGTCAAGATGTTGGAAATAATATTGTAAGATCTTGATTTCTTCTCTTGCAGCTCTTTCCACCTCCATCACGACCTATGAGACGTGTCAGACGTACGAGCGGCCCATCGCCTTCACCTCTCGGTCTCGCAAACTCTGGATTCAGTTCAAGTCTAACGAGGGCAACAGCGGCAAAGGATTCCAAGTTCCTTATGTGACCTACGATGGTGAGTTACCATCAGCAAGATTTAGATTCACATCTGAGTGACATTAACGTTGAGAATATCTGGATTCACAGGTTCACAGATTCTACCATCGTAACAAAAAACCTTCAACTTTATCTTGTGGAGTTCTCATAATTTAACTGTGTTGTGTTTCAGAGGACTACCAGCAGCTGATAGAGGACATAGTGAGAGACGGCAGACTCTACGCCTCAGAGAACCACCAAGAGATACTGAAGGTACTGAAGAATACAGCTCAGTACTACCATTGCATAATGCCCTAGTTTTTAAATTAACAGTACTTTAAACAAAACAAAAAATGCCTTTTTAATAGACAAAAGAATGATACTTTAAGAAAAACGATAACTATAAAAGAAACAAAAGGCAACTATCATAAAAGCCAAGTGATGAATAAGTGTTTTTAAGAAGGTCATTTAGGTCAGTAATAATAAAAAGCAGTAACATCAATCCTAAAAACTCACAACGGGTGCAGCAGCACTAAAAGCATCTTTTCCCTATTCAGTCCAAAACCTTGATATTTTTAAAGTGATGACCTTAAATGTTTGAGACAGGAGGGTCGTCAGCTAAGAATGAGTGCCCTGTAAATAAACCAAAGACTGGTGCTTCCTTCCTTATTCGTTGTTATTGTCTGAGGAACAGGACTCAGTATTAGAGCGCCTAAATCTGCCACATGGTCAGAATATCAGGACTTGTGTTTTACTTGCTATAAAGTTGTGAAAATTCAAAGCCATTGAACCTAAAATGTCTTTGAGATGTTCCTACAAGAGTTTCAGAGTGAACTCTGTTTGATTTTAAGCAGGTAAATATGTGTGTCATCTGCATAGAAGGGAAACGAGATGCCATATTTTGGATGAATGTCCCCCGCTTACAGCGTATAAAGAGAAAAAAACTTAAATGTCTAAGAGTAGAGCCCTGAGGAACTCCAAAGAGGAGAACTCCTCGGATATACCTTCAATGCCAACACAGTGCTTCAGGTGGTAAAGGTGTTTTGTTGTTGACTGATCTAAAAACATCTACAGAAGTTCAAGTTTCTAAAACAGCACATTAATGTTGGGATCAAACTTTTTGTCGCCCCTGCAGGACAAGAAGCTAATAAAGGCCCTATTCGACGTGTTGGCCCATCCCCAGAACTACTTCAGGTACACGGCACAGGAGTCCAAAGAGATGTTCCCTCGCTCATTCATCAAACTGCTGCGCTCCAAAGTCACCAGGTTCCTACGGCCGTACAAATAGGAGGCGGGGCCTCTCCAATCTCCTGTTAAAGGAATCCCATCATCCTGCGTCATTCCAAATCCGGCAACCTAAATGTAACCCCCTCCCCTGCCCCTGCCCCTGCCCCGTGTACTTCCCCTTCTGCCTAGGTCGATACATTGACGTTCCTGTTCTGTGACTAATCATCTTCTTCTGTCACATGTTGCCTTTCCCCCATCTTTAACTTGTAATACGTCATTAACCGACAACCCTCCCCCAGTGAGTGCAGATTTAAGGATAAGGTTTGACCGATTAGAGTCTTTGAAAATTTGTGCTGTGTCACAGACATCATCATTTTTGTGTGTATATATTGCTCCTTTAAATTTGACCATTTAAAACCAAATGTGTACAACATTCAAGAGTTTTGCCTCAGTACTAAGGAACATTTAGAAGCCCTGTAGGTCAGCCTGTTTGCTACATAAGCAAGAGGGCAATGTCTGGCAATATTGGTGATGCATATTGTATTTTAATATACTGAATACTGTATGTAAGAACAATGGTTTTAATGGGTTTGTGGTTGCCGTCGTAACTTTAAGCCACACGGGAGCCACATATTTAGTCCTCACAACGTGGAATCTAAAGAGTTTTTAAAGTCTATTATTGGGCGTCCAAGAGTTGTTTAAGATTTCCAAAAGTGCATTTATTAGCTCTCATGCCAAGAAGGAGAATTGAGCACGCTCATGTTAAAGGTTGCCCATACTGATGCTTTTCTATGCCACTGGTTTCTATCTCTGTTATTTCAATGATCAAAATAATCTCCATGTATATTTTATAACCAAAAGCTGTGGCAAGAAAGAGAGAGAGCATTGAGTGTAAATTGGACAAAAACATTGGCAACATTGCTGTTACATCATGTTTTTAATATGTTTGTGCAATTTAGACAGTGTGCAGGAGTTTGCCTGCAACTTTTGGTCATGAAAACCAAGAAATGAACCCAATATTTGATGTCTAGAACTTCTATTTTTGTTCCAGTGGTATAGCAACAGGTATCGATATTGTTTGATTTACTAGTAAATATTTGGACAAACTTAGGCAAACTCTTGTACCATCGGCCGGAGCGAGGCTAACTGTTCCCCCCTTGTTATGTAGAGTTAAGCTCGCTGTCTGAAGCTACAAATTGATCTGAGTATAAGAGTGGAATTCATGTTCTCGTCTATGTACTTCATACAGGACAGGAGCCCCTCTATGTTCTCCCCGTGCATGCGTGGGTTCTCTCCGGGTACTCCGGCTTCCTTCCACAGTCCAAAGACATGCTCGTTAGGTTAACTGGTGACTCTAAATCGTCTGTAGGTGTGAATGTGAGTGTGGCTGGTTGTTTGTCTCTATATGTCAGCCCTGTGATTGACTGGCAACCAGTCCAGGGTAACCCCGCCTCTCGCCCAATGACAGCTGGGATTAATTCCAGCCCCTCAGCCACCCCAAAAGGGAAAAGCGGAATAGATAATGGATGGATCCAAGTCCATTATTTAGTAAAAAAGTCCAGTATCAACAAACCAGTGTATCGGTCAAACCTTATTTCTGCACTCCATCTTCTCATCTCCGAGCCTTTCTCAGATTTCTGCACCTTCTTTAACAAACTTGTTTCTCCTTCAACCTGCTTTTTTTTCTGTGTTGTTTTGTTTTTGTAATATTTATACTGAACATGTCAGAGCTTGCAGAGGCCCTCGTCACAGATGTTTTCGATACGTCGACGTACAAATTTGTAAGATATGTGTGTCTGTGTGGGCACGCAGGATGTGTTAGGATGTGTCGGCCCACACAGTGTACAAGGATGTGAATTTGATTTTTCTTCTTTTTTTTTTACTGGCCCCGATGTGCACGAGACAAAGATGAGGGAACAGTTGGTGCACTTAAACACACATTTTAAAAATGATTTGAAAGAAATGTTCAAATGTGGACGGGTGGGCTTTATCCCTCGGAGCACAGGGGAAGATTAAAGGGGGTGAATCACAAAGTCTATATTGTAATTTTTTTTAAATAATAAAAAAAAAAGATATATAACAAGATGAGATAAACTACCTGCAAGTAACAGATTGTTACTTTAGAGAAATGTATGTGATGTAACTAATATTTGGAACTTTAATTGCACTTGAATTTTATATTTTAAACTGTAGGAAAAAGGTTACGTACTTGTTTCTTTTTGTTTTGTGTTGTTTTGAAATATGCCACATGAAAGACAAGCTGCGTCTCCTGTCGTCGCTCCCACTCTGTTGCTCGCAGTTAACCCCTAAAAATCTCTTACTTATGGCAACTTGCGCACACAGAGGAGCGAAAGAGACGGACAGAGACAGTGTGAGCATCACATCTCTCAACTAGCCCCCCCCCCCCTCCAATCCACCACCACTACAGTGTGTCTGTGTTTCACTGCCCAGTCCTGCTTCATCCCTCGAACATAGCTGCCAGAGAGAGGAAGCGTCACCATAAAGGCTTCTTGTATGATGGCATTATACAAACATTACATACTACTACAGCATATTAAAACCTACTCAAGATATAAGCATTCACTAAGATGCAACCTCTTTCCATTTATCAGGAAGTGTAGTGTGCACGCTATGCTGTTCCTTTATAACCCAACTAAATGTTTCTGTGTCATCCCCAGTGGTACTAATATGTCTAAGAAATCCTTTACCGTATTGAAGATGGACTCGAAGTCTGCACAACTCAAGTGGAGTGTAAACCATGTACGATGTTAGACATGTACAATGTTTAACATGTACGATGTGAGATGTACGATGTTAGACATGTACGATGTTAGACATGTACGATGTTAGGCATGTACGATGTTAGGCATGTACGACGTTAGACATGTACGATGTTAGACATGTACGATGTTAGGCATGTACGATGTTAGACATGTACGATGTTAGGCATGTACGATGTTTAACATGGACGATGTTTGGCATGTACGATGTTTAACATGTACGATGTTTGGCATGTACTATGTTTAACATGTACGATGTTAGGCATGTGCGATGTTTGACGTGTACGATGTCAGACATGTACAACGTTTAACATGTACGATGTACGATGTTAGACATGTACGATGTGAGCTGTAAGATGTTAGACATGTACGATGTGAGATGTACAATGTGCGACATGTACGATTTTTAACATGTACGATGTGAGATGTACGATGTGAGACATCTACGATGTTTAACATGTACGATGTAAGATGTACGATGTTTAACATGTGCGATGTGAAATGTATGATGTGAGACATCTACGATGTTTAACATGTACGATTTGAGATGTACGGTGTAAGACATGTACGATGTAAAAAGTACAGTGTGCGTGGCATGTTGGTCTGGAGGTGAATGTAGTGGCAGGGACACGGTCAGAATGAGAGGCCTCTCCTATCTGAGTGTCTGGGTCTGTAGCACTTGCTGCTTCATGTGTGTGGTGTCGTTAAAAAGAGGCAAGCTTCCCCCGTCAGATAAGTTCCCCTTATTGGTGTCAAAATTCCTGTCAGAAGTGCCGGTGTCAAAAAGAGGAAGCGTCCGGTCTTAGTGCCGAGCACGAGGAACATGAGGAGGCTTCAGTGCGTGTTCAGAGCTCATCTCAACACATTGATTAGAGGTTAAAGGACCAGACCGCAGGCTTTGCAAGTTTGAGCCCCTTGACTACAGATCATGTTGCCTTTTGTGACCTTGCAGTACAAACACATATTGGCATTATTTAGGTGAATGTGCCAGTTATCTGACTTCTTGAGAGTTACAGATTTCTATAGATATATAGCGCAGGCAATCAGATGGTTAGCTTAGCATAGCATGAAGACCAAGTACAGTACTGGATCTGTCCGAAAAAGAAAATCTGCTTCCAGAAGTTTATTACAAACACATTAGCTGTGTCCAAAATCACACACTCATTCCCTACTCACTACATAGGGAGTTCTCTATATAGTGAACTCAGTCCGCACAATTTGAAAACATTTCAGACACTACTCGCTCATTCACCGGTTGCCGACGGTGACGTCATTGCTGTCGCGCAGCTGGACGGTGGGTGAGGATCAATAATAATGGTAAAAAAAGGCATGAATTAGCATTAGCATAAATTTTCACAGATAGTTGGTAGCCTAGTGGTTAGTGTGCGTGCCCCAGATATGGAGGCCATAGTCCTCCTAGCGTTAAAAGAATGTGTGCACATTCATGGTCATGCAGAACTTTTGTAATGAAGAGGCTGAAACATGCAAAACCAAAATATGGTCCCACTGAGCTAGTCATTGTTAGCTTCTTCTCCTGAAATACAATATAAGAAAAAAAGTTAAAATGTCCAACAACACGATGGGAAATACCTTTTTTTTTTAGTTTTTTTTTTTTGATTGATTGATTGGCTGATAATCCCCCCTTTAAATCGACGTTCTTACAATCAGCCCAAAAAGCAGTGAATTCACTGGACGCTGGTTCATAAACGGGCCTCGCCGACAAGCTGCCACACACACACACGTAATGGTACGGCCCGCTGAGGAGGGTCCGATATGTTTGATATGAGAGATGGAAAAAGTGATATGAAATGCTCTAAAATTTATAATTGACTGTTTTTATTTTCCTGAGAATGTATTCTATTGTGAAAGGGTGTGTGTGTGTGTGTGTGTGTGTGTGTGTGTGTGTGTGTGTGTGTGTGTGTGTGTGTGTGTGTGTGTGTGTGTGTGTGTGTGTGTGTGTGTGTGTGTGTGTGTGTGTGTGTGTGTGTGTGTGTGTGTGTGAGAGGTTTTGTGCCGGGCGCCTGTGATGGAGAACAAAACTGTGTGTGTGTGTGTGTGTGTGTGTGTGTGTGTGTGTGTGTGTGCTTGTACTTTAGTCCAATTTGTAGAGGAATAATTTTAACGTTTGTGTTAGTCGGTTGTACCCAAAGAGAGAAAGTGTAACGCAGTGTTGTGCCATTGTTTGGTCCATGAAAACTCCAGTACTGAACAGATTCAATAAAACAGTAGCAGAAAACATACTGGGCTCGCGTCTTTCTTTCTGTGTGTCCATGTAGAGTTGGAGCAGCTCGTATCTGCTCGTTTGGATCTCTTATCTTTCCCTCTTTGTGACGTAGCACACGACCAGCCTGGAGGACGCTTCTCCAGGACGCTTGTGGAAAATTTAGCTGACACCGTTAATATTTCTTTTATCTTAAAGCTTCACAATCTGTGCGGCAGATCTCGGCGTTACACCACAAACACTCATCGTCATCCACACTGATTATTTCCTGTCCATTCATTTCCTTTCTTCGTTGTCCTCAGAAGAAGATGGGAAAGGAGACGACCCGCTCGAAATGCTCTACTTTTTGAAATGTTCAGGAATGGTTCGAGGAGAAGACACTGCTCTGAAGAATCCGAGACTTGGGTTTGATCACTTTCGACATTTTTGAAAGCCACATATGCTCTTAACTGGGGACTCCTAAGCTTTTCAGCTCGTGACCCCCAACAAAGGCCCACCACTGTCCCTGGAGATGGTTAAAGCGTATAACATGCACACAGACACACACACACACAAACAGGTCTATCCAAACACTGACACAAAAGGACAACACAAAGGAATACTACAGCCTAAAAACACAAGGCATCTCATGACCCCCCTTTTGGTGGCTTGCGACGCCCCCAGGAGCCCCAACCGCCCCAACCGCCGCATGCTAGCATAAGCTAACCTGCCTGTAATTGTCACCTGCCTGTCCAACAGGAAGCAGAACAACTCCACGTCCACGGGTAAAAGACAACACAAGGTTCACCCTCGTTTTAGAACGAGCTTTATCTGCTTGGCGTTTCACCTCACTGTGATTATATTTTCTCTTCTTTGCTGCTACGTCCACGTCCTGTTTGAATCGGGTCCAATCACTGAATTGTATCCACTCCTAAACTCACCTGCTGCGCTGTCATTGGCTGGAGGAAACACGCCATCTCCGCCCAGAAACATCCCGAGTCAACCAGAACAAAGCAGAACAGTGAAATCCAGTCAGAGGACAGAGTCTCTGCAGACACAGTCACCACCACACATGTACGGAGGCCCAGAAGGGACGATGGAACGGCTTTACTTTCTTGAATTTTTTGAATTTTTTGAATTTTTTTTCAGGAAAAAGCTAATGACTCTATCTTCAACTTTACACACTGCAAAAACTCAAATCTTACCAAATGTATTCGTCTAATTCCAAGTAACAAATATCAAAGTCACATTCACATTCACCCGAATCACCAGACAAGCCCAGATAAACATTTCCTTTCACGATATATAAAAAGAAAAACAACTTAAGTCTGAATTGCTTGTAATAAATACAAATATC